TAATATAATTATATATTAATAATATATAATTTACAATAACTCATGTATGACTGTGGTTACGATAAAACTAATATATATATATATATGTGTGTGTGTGTGCGTGTGTGTGTGTGTGTTCGTGCGCGTGTTGTGTGTGTGTAGCGTAAAGCGGAACTTTAAAGTTGCTACTATTTTTACAAAACTAAATGCTCTTGCAATCTGAATAATTACATATTAACAAGAAATTCGCATAACTTACAATCATGACAATATAATACGATTCATAAACGTAAATTCACAGTTTCTGCTTTTCTTAAAAAAGTTACTCAGCAACTGTAACTTATATAATTACATAGTAATGTATAGTTAGTGTAATTTATTATAATTACAATCATAATATGGTTAACAGCTCCGTCATTAAATAGAATATTCTAGTAGAAAATGTTGTTCCGTTTGTGGCACAACCTATGGCTAAGCAGCACAATATGTACCGGTACAATTTAAAAAAAAAAAAGATAAAAGAAACGGAATATTAAACTTTTGAAAGAGCATTAACCGATAATCATGTGTGATTTTACAATTGTTATTTTATGACTAGAAAAGATGAAACATTTATAAAAACATTCATGCAAATTTTGTGCACTTGAAACAGTATGAAATTGTTAAAAATGTTATAAAATACTTGGAATTACTGATTCTACAGAGAATTTTGATAAATTAGTTTTATGTACTGGTACATAGGATAGCTGCTAGTATAAACCTAAACTGCCAACATAGAACTCTCCAAGATAAGTTTATTATTCATTAAACTTGGAAGACCTCCGTTAAATCTCCTGACTGTCTTCTCCAGTCTCATTATCTACAAACTCAACATGTGTAAATGGAAAGTGGCCAATCTTGCCATGTAATTCACCTTCCCATTGTCCATTCATGTTAGTCTTTGTTACTTTTATCACATCCCCAACTTCTAGTTTTAGGGCAGTTTTATCATATGCATTTGGTACCCTAGCTTGCTTCACTTTTGCAAAAGCAGGTAATGTTCGCTGAATATTGGATCTGCGAGTGGTCCCTTGTCCACTTTCTGGGTAAGACATTTGAGAAGCAGAAACCTGAACTGAATTTGAATTTAGAGTTGAAGTTCCCCCACTTTCTGGACGTGAATTATTTTCAATCACAGAGTGATTATCTTCTTCATACTTCTGAACATATGGAACTGGAACTGAACCAGTTTGACCAAGACTATTTCTAGCAGTCCACCACTGTTCTTCATCTTTTGATATAATTGTAAGAATTTCTCCTGCAAAAATATCATGATACTTTTAAAGCATGCAAACAATATCACACTACAAATTATTAACTAGAATTAAATTCAAAGGAAGCAAGTTAAGATATACAAAATTAGATACAAACCTTTCCTAAAAGGTAAATCATCTGGATCATTGCCTTCAAAATCGTATTTTGCTATTACCCTCTGTGTCTTTTTGGGTGCAGGCCTGATCAGTGGCGTTGTGTCCAAATAATGTAATTTGTAAAAAGCCAAAAGGTTGGGAATATCAGGAAACGTTTGATCTCCAATCCGATAACGTATTTGATCACCCTGCTGAATTTTATTTATAATATAATGGCTAACCTTGCTGTCTTCTCGTACACATAGAACAAAGTCCCCATGTATTGATGTGCTGTCACGTACTAAAAATACGCCACCTTCTTTTTCACCCATGAGTAAATCCGAGGCATCTTGACGTGACATTGCACCAAAATACCAACTAATAAACAATAATGAAAAGACATTTTCATAATATTTAATGTTTTATATGTTGAATGCTCTGAGTTTATAAAACTAAAAATGTAGAGTATGAAGTAATATCAATATATTTCATCAATTACCATAATATTGTTTAAAATAACATTTTCTGTTTATGTTTTAAATACATTGAACCATTTATATAAAAAATTTCAAAGATCGATAATTTTTCTTCAATATCGATAAAATTAACGAAAGACCAGAAACAACGTACAAATCATCATGTTGCAACTTTAAAGGTTAATCATCAAAACAGTAATGTCTATTATTTCATTAGTTAACGAAAATCAAAGTCAAGATATGAGGTAACATGACTAAAAATGTATCTTTATTTACCTGGACTTGTCATATTGATCGAAAGTAGCAGCCATTGTTTTGCAAGTAATTGGGATTAATCCGTCAAAATCAGTAGTCTTGAATAACTTGTTGATCAATATATCGTCGAATCGGGAGCGCCTCTCCTATGTATGCGAGAAAAGGACCCGGAAAAAGTAAAAAGCGCAACAGGGCCTCAGTGGCGTAGTGAATAGCGCCCTTGTCCGGGACGGAGAAGGGCCCGGGTACGAATCCCGAACAAGTCCCCAAGTCCTTCTCTTTTTCCGTGAATCCTGCAATATCAAAGAGCACCGTTCTCGAAGTGGTTTAAACGTCTGCATAGTAAAAATAAACAGCTCACGAGGCTGTGTGAGAACTCTCGATGCAGTGTTTAAAACCGTCTCCAAATTGGAAGAACGTTGCTACCTTCGGTAAAATAATATAATGTTATATACGTTCAAAAACCTTTCGTTAATCTCGTCGATCGACTTAAGAGAAAGAGCATCACTTGTCAAAAAGTCTCGTGTGAAGTTGCGTATCTGTTTCAATGACTGCAAACATGTTCGAAGTAAATCCTTACTTCTTCTCTTTCGTGTTCTCTAGGTTTCACCTCACGTCGAGTATCGTGCAGCACTCTTTGTGTCCGTTGTTTCCCGAGACCGCACAAAAGTACAACGTGCTTACTTGCGAACCAATAGTTCGCGAAAAACTTTCTGAACTTGCACTTTCGTTAAAGTAATAGCCAGCATATTTCACTTAAATCTATGACATAAAAACAGAGAGCAATGATTCGTTCAAGTTTCTCGATCTCTTAAGTGTATAGTAAATAGAACAGAAACTATTCTAAGGATCTTAAGAAATTCTTTTTCAGCGCTATCTGCCGGTTTAATGTAGGAACTAAAATTACCCATTTTGAAAACAATATTTTATCTTTTAATTTATTGATATATACATATACAGATATCAATAATTTCATAAAGGTTTAAAATGGTCAGGTTTAAAAAAATATTACTTGACTTTCTACGAATTTATTTTCTTTTATTTTGGGATTCAACTTTTTTTGGAATTGATATTTTTTCTAAATATTCCCTTTATCCTATGAAATTGCAAGGTACGTGTTGTATAAAGTACAACGAGAAATAAAACACGATATTAACATAGTTCTGAAAAATGGTGACTCATATTATGCAGCAAATTTATCGAGCTAATTGCGTGATTAATGCTGCACACATTTCAAAGAATTCCATTGTATGGTGACCTGTTGCTTGAGGGGGAGGAAGTGTAGGATCTGAAAATGAACAGTATAAAATAACAATACAAATTTCATCTGATAACTCAATATATACATATATTTTCATAAAACATTTTTATTTTTTACCTCGTCCAATATCTTCTTCTTCATTTGATAAAGATTTAAAATCTAACAGATAACTTTTATAATCAACTTGATAAAGTTGTAACGACATTTTACTATATCTATCAGTTAACTTATTCTTTTGACGTACTCTCACGCTGTAAGCATTTATTATTTTCCATTCCTGAAAATATATTGCATGATATTTATATATTTTTAATTTGTTGCATGAAAAAATTTTTTCCAATAGAAATCTTACGAAATTAAGAGCTTTCATAGCTCGATAAACTTCATTCATGATGTCATTGGGTTTAGACTGTGAACGGATTCCTAAATGCCATTTAGCCCGTTTTACTGGTGTACCACGAGCACCTGTTGTCGAAGATGCTGTGCTTCCTTGAGAACTTTGCCTTTCTCGCAATGCTAAAATTATGCAATAAATACATCGAATATTTTATATTTTATAAATTTTGTAACAAAACTGAAACACAAAAATTCTAAGAACAGGCTGGTCTACTCCCTTACGTGCTATTCTCTCTGGATGTGGTCTTAAAGGACTGTTATTGGCATCATTGGGACTATAGGCAACAGGAGGTGGACTAGAGGCTACATAGAAATCTTTTAATTCTGCCTTAGCAGCCTCGTCTGCAATTCTTTTATTATCTATTATTAAATGATAGGCAATTGCCAATTGATCATGAGGATCTCCACCCAATAATGCAGAATGAACTTCTGCTTCTTTCACATTGAACTTTTCACAAACTTCGTTCACGGCATCCATATCAATTACAGAAGAGTCCTGTTCAACAGGTGATGGAAATAAGTATGAGGGCAAATCCTTTTGGAACCATTCATGCTTCCTAAATCAAAAACATTTCAATTGAATGAAAAAATGTTTGAAAAGTGAACAACAATTTTTGAATAGTGCGTAAAATAGAAAACATTAAATAATAGAAAAAATAAATAATTGCATAAAATTCAATGTACTTGATATCTTCAATAGTTGCTCTTTTCATAGGATCCACTTGCAACATGTGACATAAAAGACTTACAACACTTTTATTCAGGTACTCTGGAATGGGGAAAACTCCAGCTAAAACAAGTGTTACTCCATGTAAAATTTTATATAAGCAGTTAATATTAAATACTATGTGTACTATATTACTTACACTTAATTTTACGAAAAAGTGTTGGTACATGTTCATCATCAAATGGTAAAGTACCACACAGCAAAGCATAAAGTATTATTCCACAAGACCAGATATCAACTTCAGGACCAGCATACAGTTTACCCGAAATTACTTCTGGTGCTGCATAGTTAGGAGACCCACAGGAAGTACGTAAGAATTCTCCATCCATCATCATATTTGATAAGCCTGTAATTTAATTAAACTATTAAATTATTAATCAAAACATAATTAATTTACTAGATCTTATTAAAATATATTGTAATTAATTACTATTTAATGTACAAGACATTCATATAAGTTTTAATTGATAAAGGATTCAATTTTTACTTCACTTACAAATACATT